ATATGACTTAAAATTCTACTGTGAGGGGTTTTTGTCTGTATACATGTATTTGGGGTTTTTTGTTTGTTGTTTTTTGCGGTACTAGGGATTGACCTCAGGACCTTGAGCTTGTCAGGCAAGCACTTATTCTACTGAGCCATCTCCCCAGCCCGTGTGTGTTTGTTTTTGTAGTACTGGGGATTGAGCCCAGGACCTTCACACTGAGCTACACCCCCAGCCCTTTTTAACACGTTTGATTTCAAGGTAAGAGCTTGCTGAGTTGCCCGGGCTGTGGCCTCTTGCCTTGGCCTCCAGGGTGCTGCGCTTCCAGGCCTGCACCACCACATCCACCTACTAGGTTTTTATACCCACAATGTATTTTTTTTTTTTTCAGTTACTTTAATGTTTGGGGTTTGGATTTACCAGTTGGAGAATACTTAAAGAGATTCAACTTTCAGGAAATGGAGCCAGTGTACTTACCCCTGCCCTCCCCAATAAACACAACTTAAAAGCTCAGACATACAAAAATAGACATAAGACTCAGAAAGGTAGCAAGAAGGAGGAGACCAACCAGGGACTTCAGGCCACAGGGAAGAACGCAGGGGCGAGCCCCTGGCCCAGCCCTGGACCTGATGCCAAGGACGGTGAAATGCCAGTGGGCACAGACAATTAGCATTCCAACAAAAACCAGTTCTCTAGCCAGAAGACCAGGAAAGGAGAGGTCTAGAAGTTTTATTAGACAACAGTCACTTTCTACCCTAGCCACACACTGTGGAGCAAACAGTGACCCCATGACCCAGGCCAGCCAGGGCTGAATAAAGAAGCCTGAAGTCTCACCCTGCTCCTGTTGCCCACTGGATGGTGTTAGAGGAGGCCGAGAGGAAGAAAGGCCACCACAGCAGCCACTGCCCCCTCACTGACATCCCGCACCAGATACTTAGTGATGCCAGAGGCAGCCACATGGAGAGTAGTGAAATCCTCTTCCCTCCAGCCAGGGGACGAGCAGTAGAAGCCTATCCCTAATAGCCTAATGCAAGGGTTTTTGGTGTTTTTTTTTTTTTTTTTTTTTTATTTATTTATTGTGTGTGTGTGTGTGTGTGTGTGTGTGTGTGTGTGGCCAGCTCAGCCCACCAGGGGGCGGGGCTGGCTGGCATGTGGTGCTGGGGGATTGAACCACAGTCCCTGTGCTTTGCTAAGCTTGTTCCAAGTATAGGTGCTTTAGACCACTGAACCATCTCACCAGCCCCGGTGGTTGGTTTTTGAGGTGCTGGGAATCAAACCAAAAACCTGCATGCTAAGTAAATGCTCCACCACTGTGCTACATTCTCAGTCTGAGAAGTGCAATATTTTTTAACTCCCAAAGAATAAATCTCCATGGGCTGGCCAGATAGCTCAGCAGACTAAAGCACTTGCTTAGGCAGACACAGAGACTGGGGTTTGATCCCAGTGTGCTGTGCTGGCCCCAGCCACAGGGCACCCTGAGAGGGCGATTGAGACTGGGTGTGGTGGTGCGTGCCAGTAATCCCAGCATGTGGGAGGCTGAAAACGGGAGCATCACCAGGAGTCCGTTCTGTGTAGTGAGACCCTCTAGACCCTCCAGACGCTGACAGTTTCAACTGAAGAATTCTACAAAATATTTGAAGAAAATAGAAGAGGAGGGAATGCTTCCTAATTCATTTTGGGAAGCTGTTACTATCCTCATACCAAAAATCAGAAAAGAAAGAAAGAAAAGGAGCTGAGCATGGTGGTGCACAGCTGTGCTGAGCACTTGAGGGGCTGAGGCAGG